GGTCCCAGGGCCCCTCGTCCAGGTGCCGGGCACTGCTCCCCTGCCGCCGCTCGCCCACGCCGCCCAGCCTGCGCCGCCAGACCTGCTGCAGCTAATAAAGCTCCTTAATAAAGCCGCTGCGGTCTGCACTCTCTGTCCTGGCATGGGCACGTCCTGGCTAAAGAGGGGCACGGCTGGGACACCCCGGGGGTGCAGGGATGGGATTGGGATGGGGAAAATATTGGTATGGGGATGAGATGGGAATAGGAATGGGAATGAGATTAGGATTGGGGATGAGATTGGGATTGGGATTGGGATAGGGAGGGGACTGGGGATGGGCTGGGCACCATCATCATCACCTGCAGCTGAGGGCTCAGAGCATTTAAAAGCTGCAGCTGGGGTCCACTTGCTCTGTTTGGGAGTGGATGATGTTGTTTGTGGGTGCAGGATTTGGCCAGGTCCCAGGTAAGTGGGGGCTGCTCTGCACTGTGGCTGTGGGGTGCTGAATGCAGCGAGTGGGGTGGGTGCCGCAGTGGGGCTGGGTGGGTGCTGGGGCTCTGGTTCCTCTCTGTGCTGCCGAGTGCTGGCCCCAGCCCCTGCCTGTGCTCCTGAAGCGGAGGCCCTGTCTCTGGTCTGGTGGGAGGTTGGAGTCCCCAAATGGGGGGTGCAGGCTCTGCCCCACTCACAGGAGGGAAGCTCCTGGCATTGGCAGTGCCTGGTTTGGCCCCAGTTGTCAGGAGCCCCCGGCTGCTTCGCACCTTATTAATCCCCGGGGCTCAGTCGCGCTCACCTCGCTGATATGAAGCGATTTGTCATTGGTTACAGCAGCAAACACCAGAGCTGCTGGCCCGCTGTCAGCCAGTGCTGATGGCAGAGGAAGGGCCTGGTGTGCGAGAGCTGCGCTCCCCTTCACCCCTGCCCTGGGTTTCACCACGGGGCCATGGTCTGGGGGGTACAAACGGCACCGGAGGCTGAAAACACGCGGGGGTTTGGCCAGGAGAGAAAGGGGCAGTGGGCACGGGGTGAGGGCTGCTGGTGGAAATGCTCCTTGGCCATGAGCAGGGCCAGCCGTGCCATTGCTCCCCGGCAGAGCTGCGGGGTCTGGGCTGCTCCGGGATGCTCCGTGCAGGGACCCGCGGCGCTGGGGGAGCGCCAGGCAGCGGTGCCATAAAACCCGGTCCAGGGCGGGGGAAGAAGAGCGGGAGATCCCGCGGGGAGGGCAAACTGCTGCAAATCACCTCCAATGGGAAGTAAACAAATTGCTGTGTGGTGTAGTAATTTGCAAAACCTAGAGGCGAGCTTTAAAAAATAACAGGTTTTGTTACAAGAGATTAATTCTACTGAGTTCATGTGAAAGCTCGGGTGCGAGAGCTGGAGAGGAAGTCCCCCCTGGACCCCTGTGCAGCCCCACAGCAGCGCCCGGCCCTGGGTGCTGTGCATGGGGCTGTGCCCCTGCCTCGGCTGTGGGTTCTCCCCATGTTCCTGGCTGGGTTTTTGGGGAGGGGGCAGCTGGGTGCGGGTTTCTCTGCTCCCTGTCATGGGAGGTGGCTGGAACAGGGTGAGCCCCCCACGGGGGTGCAGTCCCCCCAACAGTGTGGGTGCTGGATGGGCTGGAGCTGGGCTCCCCTCCCACACCCCCGGGTGCTGCCCCTGGCTCGGTCCCAGACCCTGCTGGGTTTGGGGGTGCCCCGGTGCCTGTCTAAGCAGGGGGGCGCGGGCAGGGCACGGGAGCAGCCCCAGGGCTCTGGGCTGAGTTTAATATGCAAGTCACTGCTGGGAGGAACCAGCCTCATGAAAATGCCATTTCCACGCAGTCACTCTTCTGGCCATTATCCTGCTTCAGACAAAAGCAATTTACTCTGCCTGTAATAAAGCAGGGGTGATAACGAAGCGGAGAGGAGCAGTGACAGGCAGCCGTGTGGCTGAGCCGGGCCAGCCGCCCCCTGCCACCTCCCTGCACCCCGGGAGCCCCATAAGTGCCCTCCATCCCAATCACTGAGGTGTGTTACGGGCACCCACCCGGATCCCCAGCAGCGATGCACAGAGCCGGCTCCATGGACAGTCGGTTTATTGCTTTGGTTTTTGGTTTTAGCTGCTTGAGCAAAGCGTGGCACTGCTGAGGTACCCCCATGGTACCACCCCGGTACCCCCGTGGTACCCCTGTGCTCACACCCATCACCGCCTGCACCGCCCGGTCTCCTTGGGGTGGGTGCTCAATCCGAGAGGTCTAAAAAGCAGCCTCTAAGAATGGCAGGGGGACAGTCGGTTTATTGCTTTGGTTTTTGGTTTTAGCTGCTTGAGCAAAGCGTGGCACTGCTGAGGTACCCCCATGGTACCACCCCGGTACCCCCGTGGTACCCCTGTGCTCACACCCATCACCGCCTGCACCGCCCGGTCTCCTTGGGGTGGGTGCTCAATCCGAGAGGTCTAAAAAGCAGCCTCTAAGAATGGCAGGGAATTGGGGAACGAGGAGAGGTCTTAAATCACCAAAAACCGGGGGGGTG